GCTGCCCTTCAGCCAAGAGCATGGTCTTGTTCATTTCATTGCACCCTTTCTGAACACACTCACAGTACCAGCGAGAAATAAACCCTATTTTTTACTTTTTTTCCCCTTTTCAGTGTTGAAAGAGCGCTGCAGTGACACCACACACCTCAGCTGTGCAAGGAGCCGGGCGGAGAGAATGGGGGAAGAGCGAGCCCAGGGATCAGGTATTTAATCTCAGCTCTGTTGCTGCCCACCAGATGTTGGGCACTTGACCCTTTCTGTGTGTGCTTTAGATTCTCCTTCCATAAGCTGACCGCCGTGCCTTTTTACATCTTTTATAAAATTTTCTATTTAAAAAAGAAATAGCATTTTGTTTGAGGAGTTCTTCATCACTATTATAAATATGTCTGTTCACAATTACTAGTTCCATGTTTAACTCCTAAAAAAATTCTGAAACACTATCTCTAAAAGAAAGTGAAATAAGTAAAATCTGAGATTTAAACAAAAAAGGTTTCCTCAAGAGGAAATCAGAATGGTTTGGGTTGGAAGGGACCTTACAGCCCATCCAGTCTTGCCCCCTGCCCTGGGCAGGGACCCCTCCCACCAGCCCAGGTTGCTCCAAGCCCCCTCCAGCCTGGCCTTGAACCCCTCCAGGGATGGGGCAGCCACAGCTTCTCTGGGCAACCTGGGCCAGGCTCTCGCCACCCTCACAGTAAAGAAGTTCTTCCTAAATAAAACTATTCAACCCCTTAGACTCTACTTTCAAATAACACTAATGAAAACAAGGTGTTCACATTGTATTTATCAAATGTTGTTATGTATTTGATATGAGATATATGCATATATATATTGCCATAATAATTAGGACTGTGTTTTTAGGATCTTTGGCCCTGGCTGGTGATCTGAATGCAAAGCTGCTGTCAGGAGGGAAGAGAGACTTGGACAAAAAATCTGTGTTAAATGTATGTTTATTTTTTTTTGTCGTGCTTTCAAATGTGTTGCGCTACACAGTGAGCATTATTTATGAATCACCCAGAGTTTTTCCAGATTTTATTTTTAGAGTTTCTGAATTATAAATGGGGGAGCTGATAGCTAGGCCAGAAAACATGGTATATTCCATTTTTAATAATATTTTTCCTAAAAAAAATTCTAAAAAAGTATAAATTCAAAAATTTAAGTTATACTTAATTTTAAACCATTTCTAGTCTTAATTGTCTCCAGACTTTTGATTGTTGTTTAATTAAATGTTAAGTGGAGGGAATATGATCTCCAAATTAAGCAAAAATATGTTGATTATAAGATAATTACCTGTACAGACATAAATGTTCCTGAGCAGGTATTAAGAGATTCATCAATATTCAGTGCTAATACTGTAGTTAATTTATTTTATGCATGTTAACGTCACAATAGCTCCATCTTGTGGTTGACTAAATATTACTCAACGATTAATTTTTATTTAGGTTCTATAGGGAAAGTAAGGTTGAAAACAACAATAAAAAAAATGCTGGTGAAGAGAGGAAATTTTAGATGTGATTAATTTAAATGAAGTTGTAAAAAAAAAAGGAACAGAAAAGAAAAATAAAAGCAAAATAAAGCCTAAATGTGTAGTAGTTGCCTTCAGTAGTTGCAATATGTCACATATAAGTAGACAATTATAAAAGTGGGTAAGTTCTAGTTAAAATATTATTTTAGAAAATCAGTGAAAAGATTTCCTAAAGATTATGATTAGCTGGATTCCTGAGTGTATGAATCCTGTGTGTGCTGCCAGGTGTGTTTTGTTTCTGTTTCACACAGGCCTCCAAAGCCGCTGCTGCCGATCAGCCGTTTGACCTTGAAGCTGCGATTAAAAATGTTGAGAAAATGTCCAGTGAGCTGAAGAAACTAAACGGTAATTCTCAGTTAAATCCAGCAAAACAAGCGGCTGTTTAAGGCATTGTGTTGTGAATGGCTCGTGTTCTCTGTGTCATGCAACTGTTCTTTAATCCAATGAAACAATACAGTTGCTCTTTTTTTTGAAAAAGTAATGAAAAAGTAGTTACACAGAAATAGAATCACGTTAGCGATGCAGGGTGAAATTCTGGTAGGTACTCAGTCAGTCCTTTGCAGGAACAGTAGTAATAGTCTCCTAATAGAAATGTTACAGTGTGCAAATACCAAACTTTAACCATCTTGATGTAAACAAACAAAACAAACCAAACTTTAACCATCTTGATGTAAACAAAACAAGGCAGCCCTTTTTGGAAGAGCTGATAGATGAAGACTTCAAAAAGTGCTGTGTATAAATTGCCATCCACAGAATCACAGAATTATATGGGGTTGGAAGAAACCTCTGGAGATCATCCAGTCCAACCCCCTGCCAGAGCAGGGCCACCCAGAGCAGGTTGCACAGGAACGTGTCCAGGTGGGGTTTGAATGTCTCCAGAGAAGGAGACTCCACCCCCTCTCTGGGCAGCCTCTGCCAGGGCTCTGCCACCCTCACAGGAAAGAAGTTCCTCCTCATGTTTAGGTGGAACTTCTTATGTTCAAGTTTGTGCCTATTTCCTCTTGTCCTGTCACTGGGCACCACTGGAAAAAGCCTGGCCCCATCCTCCTGACACCCACCTTTGAAGTATTTATAGGTGTTGATCAGATCCCCCCTCAGCCTTCTCTTCTCCAGACTAAAAAGCCCCAAGTCCCTCAGCCTTTCCTCATCAGAGAGATGCTCCAGGCCCCCAAACATTCATTCCCCTGCCATTCAGTGAACACCACAGTGATGCACTGCCCTTTGTCTTGCAGTGGAAAGCCAGCTACTGCTCTGTGACCTTATTTTGAGTTTCAGCCACCCTATGAAGGCCAAAGATTTGAGAGAAGCTGAAGAAAAAACTTGGAGTTTGACAGATTAAATAGTAACGTCCATTTTCATGCGTCGTATGCTATTAATACTGCTTTTGTTTGAAGTATAAAATGATAGTATGATTTCCTGCAGTTAGGCTATTTTTATTTTAAACTGAAAATGTGGGGTGGAAAAATGCTATAAGTAGGTTATTGATTTTGAGAGGGTTTTTTTAACCCAAATTTCCCAAATTAAGCCCACTAGGGCTGGAAAGACTGATATCATTAACTAGAAAAGACAGGAAACTGGGCATGAAGTTTTTCACGAGTGTTGTCTCCTTTTAAGCGATGACATACTGGAGCAGTAACAAAAGAGTTTGAATTATGTCAAGTCATTGTTTTTTTTATCTCCGCTGTGCTCCGGAAAATGGGATAAAAAGCAGTCAGTGAGGGAGGAACTGCAACTTGTCATTTCATCTTCCTTCCTCATTCTAAAAATGTTGCTGAGGACGGGGCCCGAAGAGCGGGCCACTTCTGGAAAACTGAAAGTACTTTCATTCTAGTTTCTGTAGTGACTTTCTAATCCCCCTCGCTAGGAAAGAAAGAGTGAGTGGTTTCAATACTCTGTCCTGAAATCTTCTTGCCCCCAAATTTAAGTAGCCCCTGTTTTCCTGTGGTTCATTACATTTAATATTCAATCACACTTCACTTGTGGACATGTTTGAATGTTGAGATGTGTTTTTTTTTCAAATACAAAATACATTTAGCTGAATAAATATCAACCCAAAATTTACTGCACTGAAAAAAATCTGCAGTGTTGTAATTTGTTGTGCTGATTGTATTTTATTATCTTTCACTAATGAGATGATTCAAAACAAATAAAGCACAATTCTGTAGGAGGCGTTTCTGGGTCGTCAGGCTTTTCAAGGCAGTGCAATGGAACAGAATTACAGCTCACGGGTAGTATGGGGAACGTGGTTCTTCATTTTAGCATTATTTGAAAAACATACATTTTAACTGAGTTGTCTTTCACAAGATTACTCGGGACCTTTTAAGTGGTGAGAAATGCTTTTGTCAGCTGAATAATTTTTAAAATTTTATTTTTCATCTTTTTTTTTTTTGACTTATAATTGCATGGAAATTAAGTTTGCTAACATCGAATTCCAGCTCCTAGCTAAATACATTAGGATGGAAGATAACATTTACAAAACGTATATATTTAAAGTTTATGAAATCTGATTATCTTATCTGAGAAGCGATACAGATTACATGGAAGGTCTTTCTCTGCTTTGAATTTTGGTTCAAATAATTCAAGTGATAAACACACAAATGGCTTTAAAGGAGAAAAAGTGTAACAAAATCTAACCAAGGTCTTGTAAGAAAACAAAGGTTACTAGAAAACCAAGGCAAAGGGTTGGGTTTTTTTAACCCAGATCCCAGTTAGCAAAGGAAAGGGAAAAAAAACTTGATATAGCATACTTCAGTGGTCCTCAGCTGCAACTTAGATTTTAGAACTGAGAAAGTTACTGTTCTTCTTGAAAAAATACGGTAAAACCAGAAAGCAGTTGTATAGGAGGAACCAAGTTCAGCCTGATTCTGTCTGTTTTCTAAGAGAATTGGGTGTGTTCTGCCAATTAAGAACCACATGATAATAATCTTGTTGATGCATCTCCTGTGAAAAAGCAGTTGCTTAATTTAGAGTCAGAAAGACAGAGTTGAAGAGAGTTCTGTGTTAGGGGAGCTCAGCGTGTTTGAGTGAGGCTGGAGAATCCCAGGAGATAGATAATTCCAGTCTGTGGGCCAAGACGTGCTGTCAGTGAATCACGTGGTTTGGCAGAGAGAACACCTTATCTGTGGACATTTTATTTTTCTAGAAAGCTGTGAACAAAGACAGTTTCAGCTGAGTAACACAGACCAGACCCTGACAGGCAGCTGCGTATCCTGGCTTGGGGTTTTTTTGGTGTCGCTGAAACCTGCGTATCTTTAGGATCCAGGTCAGAGTCCCAGGCTTCTCATAGAAGTGGCTACAGTTAGATTTATTGGGAAATGTTTGTGGGGAAAAAATAGGCTTTAATTGTCTTTTGCGTACTCCTAAACTTTGACAAGGTTTGGGGGCTACTCTGTGTGACTTTAAATGACATCCTGGCTGCTGCAGTTCTCAGCTGAATACAACTTTTTTTTTTTTCTTCCTACAAAAGCAGAGACTCTTATTGGTATTTATTCATTGGTACTTTAATTTGGTGTGGAAATCATTTCAAGAAGATACACATGTGTTGGAAGATAAAAAATTCTCATGTACTGTATGATTAGTGGACAGTAATAAACGCGTTGTAGGAAAATCAGATTTATAGAGTACTGCATTTGAGGCATAATTTAAAAATAACATTGTCCATTTTCCTTAAAATGAAAGGATTTTTAATTACTTCATGATTTTAGTTTGCTGCAAAAGGAAATATCCTGAAGTTTACAAACTTCAGTAGGCTTTGATACTATATGTGATCTTCATTCAGGTCTCATTTAAATGTGTCCGGCAGCGTATTTTAATATGCACTGGTTTCTTGAACCTCTGTCTTTTCCATCAATCAGAAGAAGAGGTGTTCTTTGGAAGTAATCAATGATATCTGCTACTGAACAAAAATCCTGTGGGATGGAAAAAATGAGAAGGCTATGGCAAAGCTGTGGCAAAAATGTCAGAATTATTAGTAATTAGTAAAGCCAAAAATTTAAACTCTAAATATTTAGCAATCTGATAAGGTCCAGTAAGTACGATCAGATGAGCTGTTCTCATTCCTGCCATAACCTGTAGCTGGGTGTACAGCCTGCTGCAATGGGGTACAGTTACTGTGTGCAGGCTTGGCCTGTTCAATCCATGATGTTGTCATTCCGTTTGACATAATGATCACACTTGAAAATTCAGAAATTTGATTGGTAGATTCTGAGAGTTGTGACTCGAGCAGAACTGCAGTTTGTGTTTGTGTGCTGACGGGGCTGGCTGGTGCCAGTAAACCCAACGCAGCGCTGCTGGACGTGGGTAAACCAGCAAAGCAGGGAAGTTGGCAGATATGGATTTGCTCTCAACTGTGTATTTCCAGTATCTGCTGTCTTCATGGTAAACAAACATTCCCTAACCCGGGATATGGATTTCTATTAGCTCTATTCTAAGGCTGTACCGTCCTTCCCTGAGTGCAAACAGGAGAATCTGATTTTACTTCCAGCAGTAAGATATTCTATCAGGAATAACTCTTAAGACAATAAGCAGAATTCCCCTGGAGCAAAGCAGCTGGCAGGGGAAGTGGGCTGACACTTGGGAATGAGACAGGAGATGCAGGGAAGTAGTGTGAAAAACACATAGTACCTCTTTTCCTTTTAAGCCGGTTCCTAACAAATATATTTGATTTTGCTCCTGGTACCGAATCTGGATGTTGTATACTTTATCTCTGTACAACACCATCAGGACATACGGATGAGTAGCAGTTTTTCTTGAGCTGTCTCTTACCAAGAAAGTTCCATCCTGAAAGATGAAAAAATGCAAGATGACAAATGAACGTTGCTTCTGGGTTTGATCAGTGTAACAACCTTAACTAGAGCTTCCTTGCTTTTAGGTGGTTTTTCTTTCCCTTTCCTCCTGGTAAGAGAAACTGCATTATTAAATAGTTTAAGCTATTCCTCAAATGTTATGTCTTTCAATTTGCTACTTAGAAGTTTCCCATTGGATACAAATGCAGATTTTAGGGAAGGGAGGGACAGTGTTCTACGAGGGAGAGATTCCATTAAAGGAGGGAGCAAAATATCAAAGGCCAAACCTCCTGTCACTTTAAGCAGAGGAGTTCATTTTTGTTAAGTGGCTGTTGAGAGTCTTCTGTCATCTGTTCACAGAAATACTGACAGTGTCTGTGTAATTTTGGTAAAGGCAGTAAGATTACCCCCCCTGCTTTTCTTCACTTCAGATCTTTTAACAAGTCTTCCCTTGAAACACCCTTTCTTAAAGGCACTGAATGTGGTCTCCTAAGCTGGACCTCAGTGCAAGTCACTGAAATGCTGAACGTGTCATCTCCAGCTCATTGCACGTGCTGAGAAGCAGCAGAGAGTAAACAGATTTCCCACAGTGATGGGGTATGATTTGGATTATCTCCACACGCACAGTAAAGCCTGGGTTTCAGGGTTTGAGTCTGTACTTCATTTTGCTGGTAAATGTGGCTGAGAAAAGGGGGGGATTCATCTAATTCAAGCCATCTAAAACTCAGAATTTGCAACAAATTCCTCACCAGTGACAGAGAACTGTGTCCAGAGATAAGTGACTTCTCCTCAGAGAGGCGAGGTGAAAGAGCTTTCTGGGGACACAGAACTCGTTCTCTTAGACTAGAGGTGTAACTTCTCCATGGGTAAAGATATTCAAGGTGAATCCCTCACTCCAGGTGTCTCTCCTGGGGCTATAACCATCCCAGGTTCCTTACCCTCACTGCTCCCACCTGGGTGCCAGGCCAGCCACCCAGAGCAGTGGGGAGATGGGGAGATTCACCAAGGACCTAAGGAGTACCTTGTTTATCTTTCGAAGAGCTGCTTCTGCTTCTGGCCGGGTTACGTAAGCGACGTACCATTCCTCATTCAGTGAGTCCTGTGGTTTGTGACAGAGGAGAAAGGAAAGGAGAAAGTCAGCTGTCAGTCAATTAGCTCGTGATGTTAACAATGTACAAATAAGCAGAGAAAAATTTGAATGTGAGGGGTATTTGGGTCTACGTGCAGAATCTCTGAAGGTGTGAGCTCCAGGGATTACACTAGTATGTATTACTCTATGGTAAGTGGCACTACAGGATTTTTAAATTATTTGCTCACTTTGATACATTTGAAAATATCCCAGACCTAGTTATAATTGTCTGCAGGTAAGCCAGGAAAATGGGTATTTCCAAATATTTTCAGTGAAAGATGCATTTTCTTTTGATGAAATATACATGCTCTTTTGTCTGCCTGGGACAGTAGCATTCTTTGCCTCTTTTCTCTGTACTTTGGTTTTGTTTTGTGGTGTTTTTTTGGGTTTTTTTTAATACTTTATCTTTTCTTTTTTAACTATCATCTGAGACAATAATGCAGACTTCCTGTGACCATACCATCCATGGTTGCTCTGCAGTGTTATCACCAGGGGTGGTTTGCTCTCAGCTCATTGTATTTAAAGAAATGTGGAACAAAAATGCACTGAAAGGGTATGAATTCTTTACTCACCAAGGTTTTGTAGAAGAAGGGCTGAAGATGTAATGCTAATTGAAGGCAATTGTGCAAAACAAGTAATCCACCAAACAAGTATTTTAGTTTGTTTTACTGGGGTTTTGCTATTGTTTTTCTTGGTGACGACAAAGTAAGGCACTAAAGTTTGACAAAGAAAAGGAAACTGAAAGCACCTACTGACATCCTGGCAGTGGCTACTAGCTAGAAAAACAACTTTGAAGAACAGTTTCTCTTGAAATTAGAAAATTTGCTGTGTTTAGCAGTTATGGTTAATACTTGTAATGTTTTTTACCTCATCTTCCTCCATGTTTGTTTGGTGAACCGTCTGCCTGCTCGGAATTGGCAGAGGAGGTCTGATATCAGCGGCGCCTCTTGACGGAGATCTGCTGTTGCCTTCAAAGAGAGAAAAGTAAAAAAAAATGTGAAAACCAGGAAAATAACTTAATCTGTGGAGTGCACGCATAGTGTGGAATCTTGCTTTTGTGAGGCATGAAGAATTTGTATCACTGATAGTGAGAAACTTTGAATTGATTTGAAATCAGATTTAGGCTCTTGAGTGAGAACCAGGATTTTTTTACATAAAATTGTCCTTGGTGGGCAGAGACTTTAACTGAACTCGTGCAATTCAGGTTTCCTTAAAATCAGGTGAACTTGAAACAGAGGTTATATCTTTTTAGCTTCTGTACCACAATTCCTCAGCTGAGAGCATCTCTGGTTGCTTTAGAGACAGCAGTAACATTATCTCTTTGCTTTCCTTGCCTTCTTAGAACATGGAAACAAAAAACTGTCACTGTAAGACACTGGCAGCTGTTACCATGTGTGAAAAATTATTTGCAAAGCAACTGATTTCTAAGCTTCCTTTATTTTTGTATCTGTTATTACAAGATAAATATGCAGTGTATTTCACATGGGAAGTGTTTTCTCCCTGTTTCTAGAGCATTGGTGTGGCACAGTGGCTGGCAGGCAGTGCTGCTCAGCTCTCAGTGGTGTTAGCTACATGGAAAAAGATACCTAAATGAAGTTGTGTCAGTGATTTAACCAGGCATTAAGCCCACACCTGATGGGAGAAGAACATCTTGATTCACACTAAGCAAGTTACTCAAGATGCCCTTCAGGAATTTGATCGTTTTCTGTTCACAGTCCAACCAGAAACATCCATTAGAAAAAAGGGTTATAGTAACTGCACTGAAACCACCTTTCAACCTTCAGTCATTTTTTGTACAAAAATGCAGGAACACAGGATACAAACCTAGATGTAAGCGTGGTGGTAGCGAGCCGCCTGCAGACAGGTTTCTAGCACTGCTTAAAAAGAAGAAAAAAGTGGTCAGTACAAATATAGTGCTGTACAACATTTCTGTGCTCTGAGGACTTGATCTGGACTTTGTGCCTGTTTTACAGAATGTAAGGTCCTCTTGAGACCTATGAAGGATGAGGATAAGCTTTCTCTTTCTTTCAGTTTTTCTTCTTTTTATGTCAGTAGATGCACCATTAAGTTTATTTGAAGCTCAATATCTGGGAATAAGGTAGAGGGAATCAGTAATGGGCCACCAAGACTTCTGTGTCAGGATCAATGCAGAAACTCCTTCAGCTTGTTGATTTTTCCCAGGGAATGACTACTTTATACCCTACCACAGGAAGCGCAGGAAACAGATATTTCTTTCTGGGGTTCCAGGTTCTTTCTGGGTTAAAGGGTCATTTTTGTTGTGGCTTCTTTAACATTGTTGATGAAAATGCAGTTTCTCATCATTAATGTTGCAACTGCAGATGTGGAGCTACTGGAGAGTCCAGTGAAGGGTGGCTGAGCACTGGAGCAGGTTGGCCTGATCCCAGAACCCACATCCAAAACTTCTTAAAATGAAAAGTCCCAATCTTCTTTTTTTTTTTTTTCCCCTTCTTTTTTATTTATGCACCTAATTGGGAACAAACTGCCTGCAGGCTTTTTCTTTACAGTTCATATTTCTCTTCTGCTTAAATGAACTGTACACAAAGCTCTAGGATGAATATGTTAATTATATTTGCATGACACAAACACCCTGTCAGGGCTTGTGATTCATGGGAGAGAATCAGCCAAATGGGGGCCTCTGCTACAGCAAAATTTGGCAACGCTGTTCAAACATAAGCCAAAGTGTTCATCATAGGAATAGTTCATATTTGCATATGACCTTGCTGTTGCTAATGGGATAGTTGTTCTACTGGGGTGTCAGCGGTTCCAGAAGATGATGGTAAATGGGAGGAATTCATCAAAGAGCCATTAAAAAAATACAGATATTAGAAAATGTACTTAGACTCAGGGAGCCCACTCTAACTCATCAAAGGCTAAGTCTGTTGCACACTGCATCAGAAATCAAAATTTAATTAAGGGCTCTTCCATCTAGCAAATGAAGACATAACAGTCTAATATTTGGAAGTTGAAGCTAGAAGAAATCATAGTGGAAGCAAGGTTCACAGTTTTAAACAGGAATATTAACCATTAGAGAAAAGTTTAGTAAAAGAGTGTTGAATTTTTTGCAGCTTTAAGTGTAGACAACTAAGGTTGTGGTTTTTTTTTAGTTTTGAAGCAATTAGTGGTTGCAGCTCTATCTGCACGTAGGCTTCAAGGAGTGGGCAGAATCCCATTAAAGAAGGACCTTTCTGACCTCCATCCTGCATAGTTTTGTGGGACAAGATGATCCCTTCCCAAAAGGGTTGTCTTATGGATACTGCAGGCAACGGGTGAGGTGTCTCAGGGATGGAAGCATTTTACCATGTAGCCCCTAAAGTACTTCCTTGACATAAATCTGAGAGATTTGAATTTTTCCTTGCTTGCCTGATGTGCACTCTCTGCTTCACCCTCCTTGATAGTAGGAACAAGCCAAATTAGGATGTAGTGGAGGCAAGGGTATAGCCTGAAAAATAATGGACTGCTTAAACAAGTTACCCTGTGTTCACCTGAGAACCCTGTAGCCACGTATATACACTATTATTTGCTAAATTGCAAAGAGATTGAGATTCAAAAGAAAAGACAGTAATGGGTGAAACAAACCTTTCTGCCCCAGGCATACTGTTGGATCCTGGCTTAGGTGGAGGCTTGACAGATTTGGATGGGAAGGTATTGGAGCTGTACGGGGGCAAAGAGAGCTGTGGCACTGGCCTTTGGGGTGCAGCTGTGGAGAGGAGGAGAAGGAAAATTAAAACTTATGTGAGACATTCTTAAATGAGGTCAAATGATGAAATGCTGCCATATTACTTCTGTTTAATTAGATAAATGTAATGGAATGAACTTCTATAAAAAGGGCTTGATATGTTAATTACAGATTATAAACTCATATGGTCAACTGTACTTAAAATTAAGTGCTAAAATTAAAAATGAACTGGAAGAGGCATGAACAACGTTTACATTTTGCAAGTTCTGGTTTGGATAAGCCCCAATTCAGATGCCTTAACTGCAGCCGAGCTGCGGTACGTACCCCTGTGTTCTGTTACGGTGCTTCTAAATAGTGTATTTGAGGTTACCTTTTCCAGCTTCATTCCTTTGTGACATTTCTCCCATAAACAACAGCATCAAATAAAACATATTCTTTCTGCAGCGTCCTCAGACCTCAACTACCAGTGAGAGGGGAACAGATGAACTGTGCTCTGTGCAGCTTAAACAGCCCTCTTCTTTATGGAGCCTTAGAGGCAGCGATCATTTGTAGAGACTTGGCCAAACGTTCTGCTTCTGTTATGGTGTCACTTTACCAACTCACTTAATTTTAGAAACCAAGATTCTGAAGTAATTTATAAATACTGTTATTACATAAAACAAGTGCTGCCTCTGTTCTTAGGAGTAAATAACATTGCACAGAAGACTAGTACCAGCGGGCTTTGACTGAACATTTGGTTGAAAACTGGGCGGATAGGAAGGTTGCACGCTCAGCTGTCTGATGGTGTGTGCAGGTCACAAATCTCTGCAGTGTAATGTCTTTCAAAATCAGAAATTCTGCTCTCTTGTACTCAGCCGTCTGAAGGAAGCTATTAGCTATTCATTTCCTCTGCTTTGCGCCTTTGATATATATATCTGCATGAGGTACTTGGTGAGCATTCTACAGCCTGTCAAGCTACCACCTGACTTTTTGAAATGGCTCTAAAGAAACAACTCTGTGATCTTTTTTTTTTTTTTTTAGAACTAAGGCAAAGACTTTTAAGTTTTAAAAATCACTGTAGAAATACTTACTGTCGTCTTCTTCCTGGGGAGCCAAAAGAAAGTAAACATTAGGAACATGTTACAGCACAGTTCTTAGGAATATTTTATGGAACAAAACCCTGGAATTTGGTGAATTTTGAGTGTACAAGCAGTCTAATATTTATATTTCACTATTATTTAAAATGCTGGGGTCTCTGTCTTCATGCAACACCAAATAATTTTTAGGTCTCACGTTAAGGTGCAGTGATTCTTTACAAATAAGCTGTGGGGAGATGTCCCATAATGGATCTTGAGCCAAAGTAATCAGAAACTCTCAGCAGATGTAAACTTTCCTCATTCTTTCAGTAAGTGTAGGCTCTCAGAGTCAAATCCTTAGGTCAGCTTAAGCTGAAAAAAAAACCCCAAACCCTAGTGTAAGCAAAATCACTTCTCCCATGTCACAAACAAAATCTGGCCTTATTCTTCCTGTTATCTGACACAAAGTACTGAGGGAATAAACTGAGCTTTAATTAGGAGAAGTGTTTAAAAAGAAACCGTGTGCTATGAAAGATCCATGAGTATTCAGTATAACTAATAAAAGAAACGAGTTTACCTTTTCCAGAATTATTAGTTTATACAGGGACTTCATTTTATTGTAGTCCCTATCCCTTTAAATATTTGCTTTGAGACTATACTTACTTCATTTTTTTTGTGTGGTGGCCAACCCTGCCTGAAATGAAACAGAGAAAACAAAACCTGAATCGTAGTTGGGATATTATGCATTCACTTTGTGTGCATTAGGCCATATTTTCAACTAAGACATGAATTTATAGTAAGTTTTCCAGACCCAAACATTTTTTTCCTCATAAAAATATCTAAGATTCTAATTTTCAGCCATTATCTGAGATAGGCTAGTCCTTGGCCCATCTTGATTCTGTCAGCAAGGAAAATGTCTGAGGAACTGCTTATAAGATAAGAGCTTAAAACAAGTTTTTACAAGGATGAAACATTGGACTTCACATCTTGAGCTCATTTCTAGTACTTAGCAATGTTGCTGGAGCACATGATAAGCCTTCCAGGCTTTGTTTCTCTGATAAATTATCCCTGTTGATCAGCAGATCTCAATTACTTCTTATTTTCTTTTGCAATTGGTCACACTAGGAAATGCTGGAGGATGATGTGGTTCTGCTGGAGAATGCCGATTGCTATTAAGAAGGAGCTTTGCAGGCTGGGGCAATTAATGGTAGGAAAGTAAAGCTTTCTTTTTCTAACATCCTAAAAAAATAGCAATAGGGCTCATGAAAGAATGTTCCCTAGAGCAAGAACTTGCTCTGGTGGAAAAAACTCAGATCGTATATTTCTTTGTGCAACTGGGAAGTGAGTCACGCCCGAGGTGATCGCTGTTTGAGATCCGACTGGAGAGAGACCTTTCCTGCTTCACACTGCCCTGTGTCCCAGACCATGCCTAGTCATAAAGCAAAACTTGGGCATCTGCAGACACTGCTGTCATGCAGTAGCTATAAGTTGCTTATCCATATATTTTGTTAAATTTAATTTATCCTTTATTGCATTTCAATTAAATGAACACTTACTTTACAGGGGTTGGCTTCCTTAGAGGAGGTGGGTTGCTTCTTTCATACCTGTCACTGGGTGGAACAGGAGGTTTTGGCATCATTGCTAGTTGTTCCCCCAGGGATCTAAAGCAGGAGCAAGATGGTGAAATAATGGCAAAAAGCTGCTTACTAAGAAATAAGTGGGTAATACGGGCATCCAGAGTCTCATCTCCAGAGGCAAAACTCTTACCTTAGCTGGGAAGTCAGAGGCTGTAAAACAACAAGGAATAGTTAAGAGACTGTGTAAGTGTATCAAAATAGGGGGAAAACATCAATAAGCACCAAACAAAAAAGGCATTACCTTATCAGGAAAGCTTGGCTTCCTCCCTGAAAACAGTAAAAGCTTACATTTAGAAAAAAAATTTAAGATGATTAATTAAACTTTCTATGAAACAAACAAGTTTTGAATAATGTTGAAAGTGAAATTTGCAGGTTGAAGCACTCAGCTTTCTGAGATGTAAGCCAGAGAAATATTTGGCTTTGCAAGGGATGGCAAAATTGCAATATCTTTTATTAAAGGAAAATCTGAAAAATTTTAACGTTGCATGTTTTAGAATCGTATTTTCTATGGTTTAGCTTTGAATTACTGGATACTTTTGTGTCATTACGTACCAGATGAAAGTGTTTAGATAATAAAAAAATATCAGAGAGTAGTTCTCTTTAGATTCTTTATATATATTGTTTTTCAGGTCTGAAACAAATGCATTTTTTATTCATATTATTTACATTATTTATTCATAACCAGATCACCTTGTGATTGGATGACGGTACGTTTGGTTAAGCCTTGTTCTTTTGCATGAATGATACTCAAAGTGATAATTCTGAGTAATTAAAAACCCCATTGATATTAGCTGGAGCAAATACTGACCTGACCCTGGGCTCTCTCTCTCGAAGGGTGGAGCGAGGCGATCCAGCGAGGGTTTTGTGCTTCTGTCTATGGAAGGAGCTGGGGCTAAACACAAAAGCTGTGTAAGGTAATTTGCTGGTATAGGTCAATATAGCTTTATTTTGCATGGCCAGGAACTGGTGTTACTTCTTAAAATAACTAGTGAGGCTTCTGTATAAAGAGTAGGAGAGAGTGGAACTGAGGAGATACCAGGCAAAAGTGAAGTGCTGGGGAGCCTGGGGGAAAAGCTCCGCAAGGAGAAAACCACCTCTACTTACGTTTCAAAGGCTTGATATTTCTGTCTCTACTCAAGTCATTGTTGCTTGGTGGAGGAGGAAAAGCTGGCAGCTAAAACAAATATTTTACACGTGGTTAAAGTGTGTCTTCACCTTTCTGTTTTAATGTTAGTATCTTAAGCCCACCCACACCACATCTGCTGGTCTTTGTCTCTGCTACAGCACAAGAAATGGGTCCCTCCTCAATGCAGGAAGGACAGGAGCCATTAATGCTCCTGAAGAATGACCTACACACCTGGGGTTTTTGTTAGATGCAGAGTTGCCCCCCTCTGTTTGGTGTCACAAGGAATACTCCAGTGGGATGTTATCTTAGGGGAGGGCATGAGTATTGTCAAAGGAAAGAAACAGGAGCTTCAACAATGCCGTTGTGTCTTTGCCCCTTCGGTGCAGCTGGTGTTAGTTTTGAAAACTGGTATTGAAATTAGTGGATGTAAATTTGAAGTTGAGAAAATGTGTTAAGTCTGTGTTATTGACTGGGGCTGACTGAGGCAGGGGGAGAAAGGACTGTTCTCTGTTACTGGGAGAGCTGGAGTAGAACACCATTGTGTTGTCAGCAGCTGCAAAAGACATTTGCATCTAAACCTGGATTTCACCAGAAAAATGCCTTCCAATGTTTGTTCTTATTCCAAAGAAATAGAGCAGCAATTTAGGGCAGCAGGCTTGAGATCTCGTGATACCTAAGAGTCCTGTGTGTTTTATTTACATGAACTATGACACTGGACCAGATCAAAAGTTCCTCTATCACATCCTAAAATGACCTTTACTTATGTACATGGGTAGGTCTAATGATGTCTGTTGTGGCACACAGTGACCATACACTGGCACTTCTAAACAGCACAACAGCTTTCAGTTCTGAAGTATTCATAGGACCAAAAAAAAAGGAAAGGAAAAAAATTGTGTTCATTGGGGTTCTCATTATACAGTCCCTTATACTTTTATGTGGACAATCCTAAAAGTATAGCGTGGAAAGACTTAGCCTTTTTTTCATTTTACAAGTATCACTGAAGAAACAAAGAGGTATCTATTACAAATCTGTAATTCATATGGGAGGGGTGTTCACAAGTGCTTAAAAATTTCCACTGCAAGAAACACCCAAGTAATGTGAAATAATTTAATATATTTGTCCGATGAAATGGAATTGTTCCATGAAAAATGGCCACTCTGTAATAGAGTTCCTATCTATTTTGGTGGCTGAAATTCTTTCCTCTACATCCGCTATCCGAATAAAAAGGGCTTTACACTTTGACTTGTAAGAAGGTACTGGCAAAAGGTCTAGGTGAAATATTAAGAAAGAAACCTACAGAAGCACATCTTCCCCCAAATGAGGCTGGTACTGGGGAGGGGCCAGGTCGCTGGGGTGGTACAGGAGGCTGATGTGGAGATCTGCTTGTTGGAGGTCTGTCTGAAGAAAACAAAAATGCCAAACTAAACAACTACACAAAGAGTTTGGTTGTTTTAGTCTCATTACATCTTTATGAAAAAGAGCCCTTTTCATAAGTATGTATACCTGCATACTTAAGTTACTATATCATAACGACATTATTTTCATATATAAAGGCTTTAAAATGCACAAAGCCCCCAACATGTGGTAAGTCCGTGTTACTGAATCTTGTTCATGGAGTACACCATTGACTTCCAGGAAGGACCTTCTGTATCCCATTAATCCCATTACCAGACACCTTAAATGTGGCTGATAATGTGTGAAAACAGAATTATGTAATAACACTTAATTATATAAAACATTTAATTTTTAGTGATTACCTATGTAATCTGTGTTGTTTGCAAGTGACTTGGCAGGAAATATGACATTGTGGTGGGCTTCGTCGTTGTTGGAGGGAGGTGGCTCGTAGCCGTCACTGTCATGTTCTGCTTCCTCAGGTTCTTCTGTTGGTGATTCATAGTCAGCCTCATCTTCCTTTTCCTGGTCATCATCGGGGCTTTCGTAGTCATCATCATCCTCATCCTGCCAAATGTACACAAAGGATGGATTCTCTAACAGGACACTAAACACTGCACTACAATTTCCTTGTGCCCTTTTACTGGGATATTTTTCACTCTGGAGGATATCAAGTTTTTACAGTTAGATTGAGTGAAAAAATTCTCTGTTGAAATAAAATGGGGAAAGGAGGCGGGATTTTATTAAAAAAGCAGAAGGAACTTTTTCAGTCTAGCTGGCTCCAAAAATTAGATTCTTCTAGAAAATACAATGCCAAGAGTTTGCCATTGACTAACACAGCAACCTTTCCTTTACTGGCCACCTCTTTTAAGAGCCTGAAGTAGGTATATGCAGTTCACCTGAGGTTCTGTGGAGGCCTGGTCATAGGCCCTGAGCTTCTGCTGGAGGCAGCGGTGTGGGGCTGCCCTTCTGAAGCTCTGCCTTGCGCTACTGAGGGACCCTCTTCTCAGTGAAGAAATTTATGTGTGGCTACTCCAGTCATTCATGGTCCTCCTTCTCTTTCTCCTCATCCTACCACCCCCTGACATTGCTTGCTCCAGCTGTGCTGCCCCAAGTAGGTAACGCAGGAACCAATAGACCCTACAGCAGAGGTTAATCCTTTCAACCAGTTGGTGTTGTTAATCCCAATACTCACAAATGAAGACCAGCCACCGTCTTCTTGACCATATCCTGTGTAAAGAAACATAACCACAGGCTTTTTAGCATGTGCAACCCTAAACTGTCAAGATGTAAGTTCACCAAAAGGACACAACAAATGCGTGATCTGTTCTGAACCACATTTCTATGTCACAGGAATAAGGTAGGTCTTGCAAAGGCAGGCAGGCATGAAAGGTACCACGAGTAAAGCTGTCCTTGTATGAGTTGAGGTGTGTGCTTGTCCTACGCTTCCAGTTTTAAATATAATTTGAAGTAGAATGCTTTCAGAATGAGCACAGACTTCTTATCTCTTTGTTTAATACTATTTTAGCTTTCATATCAAAAGGTTTTTTTAATTTTAGTAGGACTGGGGGAGCATGGTAGCTTGCAAAAATGTTAAGGGCTCATGGCCTATTAAGAATATATTTGAAATAAAAATTCAGGACATGGCAGATATCTAGAAGCTTGGCTCTCCTATGTCTAGTGCTGCCAGGAGAAGGGGCAGGGGGCAGAGGGCTTGGAACAGAAATATATAAGCACTGATACTATGTATTGGGTTAAAAAAAGGCAGTTTGGGGATGCTCATGTAGATGCCTCTGACCTTGCCTTTCTTCACCATCTTTTCTATTTAAAGAAGAAATTATTACTTCTTCTTCTGTACCTACTCTTTATTCTTTTTGCAACTTCTTTGTGCTCTCATCTTTTCCTGGCTGTTGCTTTGGGTCCCCCCTGCCACCCCTCTGCCCATCATTTACTCAGCCCTGCAAGGATTGACTTCATATTTTAATATTTTTAAACAGTTTTTGTTGTTAGACACCATCTGCCAACACACACTTACCTGGATTTTCAGAACTTTTTTGCGTTTGTGCCCTACAACAAAGATAGAAACAAATCAATTCCTTCCATTTACAATTCTTACATGTTTGAAGCATAGTAGAATTTACTGCAAATCAAGGCAATGGTTAGCTTTAGCCATAGAATGAAGTGGCCTCCTAAATGTAAGTAAAACTGTCTTGAAAATAATTCAAGTCAGTGAGGTTGAGTGTGTACAAACAAGGGGACTCAGTAAATAAATTTACAAGGGGACGCTGTCCTGAAAATAAAAACTTTATTTACTCATTCCATTCAAGCTGCTGAAAGTCAAGTTCATAAATATTTGTAGGGCTGATAAATATTTTTATGGTTTTCAATTCTAGTTTTGAACTCGAGTTACTGCAAAGGTGTAATACCCTGTTAGCAGATGATGTAAAAGCCTGTTATGTGACTACTGAAGGGGCTTTCAGGAACCTCATCTGGTTGGAGACATCCCTGCTCACTGCCAGGGGGAGGGGCTAGGAGGCCTTTAAAGGTCCCTTCTGACCTTTAAATGATTCTGTTTTCGTTGTATATGTATATAAATATACATTTTTCTTTTCTCATGCAATGTTCCTGCCATTTTTGCTCTTTTTCTGTTGCAAGAATATTATATTCAATGATTTTTCTTTTCTCATGCAATGTTCCTGCCAGTTTTGCTCTTTTTCTATTGCAAGAATATTATATTCGATGTAAGTCATAAAATATTAAGAAGTGTAACAATGTGTAGGTCTGTGAAGTGCACTGATGATTAGTTATTGATGCAACAATATGTGCCTAGGCTTTATAGCATTCCTAAAGATGGAAACTGTAGCTTGGTTCTGGACATGGCAGAAGTACCCTGGGTGTTTGTGGGCTCAGGCTTTGCTATTCTTAACACGACATTAACAAAATGGCATTTTATTTGATACAATTTCCAGGCTGTCCCTCTGACCCAAGTATTATTGATCAAATGGAAAACAGTGCAGAAAAGATATATCTGTAAGCTATGAAAAAGAAAACTGAGTTGTCTTACTTACCATTTTGGAAGGAAAGATAGCCTCCCTTCATTTCTGTTTATTTCTTGACTTAATTTACTTACAATTCTATTTAAAAGAAACAAAAAAATAGTTAAAAAACTTCTTGGAACTCGTCAGTCACTTCCTTAGCTACTTTCCCTCAATATTTGCTGAATTAAATCTGGAAATTCAGAATTACTATTTGCTGTGTGGTACAAATATTGAATTTATCATCTTATTACAAAGTTGCACTATACTATATCCAATTGAAGACTAGACTGTTTTCACATAGATAAAACCCTGTATTGCTGTAGCAAGTTTAAAAATAAACATTAAAGCCAGAAAGCCTTAGAACTTTGGGTGTGGCAGACACCACACGCTCGAACGCTGCTTTCCATAACGGTGATTGCATTTGTATGATTTTGCATGGAAAAGGCAGATAATGCTTCAGGAAACAGCTTCTACCAAGGTTATGGTTGCAACAGCAGGGATTAAATGTTCCCTGTGTACTCTACTCTTTTTGTCTCTCTCCTCCTACAACCAAGCTACACCTAATGCAGAATCCCTCCGGTAAGGACGGGGAAAAGGTTGATTTAGTTCCATGTTCCAACACATTGGCAGGGTGGAAATACTCATGGAAAATACAAAGTCTGTAGCTGTATGTCTACAGAGATTTTCCCAAGTTGATGTGTTTGTTGATGTGTTGTCAAACTCGTGAGCAGTTTGTACACAGCAGGGGGGTGAATAACAAGAGATGACATGCAGTCTTGAGTACAGTTTTGGTCAGTTTGGGTCATTTATTCTGCGGGTCCTGCTGGCACCCACAGCCAGCACTGGCACCTGGGACCGAGAGTTTTACACTGACTGACTCCCTGAGAGCAGCTCTGAGGCTACAGGACACTCATTGCTGAGATTAACAGAATAAAATCCACCCAGAATCCTGCTCTGCTAGTAATGCAGTCTGCCTCTCATTATTTTGTTCCAAATACAGGTTTTGTTTCAAAGAAAGCTTCTGACAAGTCAGGCCCTGATTCTTAATTCTCAGTATTTCTTTTTGAGGAAAGTCCCACCAAGAAAGTCCTGGAACAACCAAAGCAAATTGGTTACATATATCTGATTAAAAATAACCCATTTTCTAGCTTATATTCTTTATGTTTATCAGAGACAGTAATTGTGGAAATAGAAAAAAAACATCAGGAACTCAAAATGTCTGTTTATCTCAGATTCTCAATTCTGTAAAATCTTAACTTTACTGTTTGTTTGTGCAGAATTCTTTTCCGTACTTTGTAGATCTGGTCAATCAACTTTTATATCAGCACTGTAAAATCTTTGCTTATGGCCAGACAGTTACCAGTCTGTTTTGTTTTTCTTCTTCTGTCATGTTTTTTTCTGCTACTCAGCAGTAATAATCCCCTAGTTTTTTCCAAACTACCTCATTAGTGCATCTCTTTAATGTCTAACTGCTTTTCTGGGCTGGGACTTGAGGGAGACAAGCTTTCAAGCAATCTAATATTTTTTTAAAAAAGACAACAAAAACATACTGGGTTTTTTTTTGAACCTGAACCATATTAAAAATCTTTCTCTATTTTGACTACCCCTTCTCTTGCCCCTGCTACTTTCCTAATACTTACATTACTGTAATTCACATTAAAAGATAAATTCAAGGCATAGGGTTGCTCTGGTTTATTATAGAAAATGCTATAGGGGCAGACCAGGCTGCCAGCGAGTATCAGAGAACAAGCAATTTCAGATCAGTCTGACCGTGCTGTCTGAAAAGGATGAGGATGCCTAATTTGAAGTTAAGGATTTTTATTTATTAAGGGGTTTTATTTGTTAAGAGAGTACTTTGCAATTTTCTGATTTGAAGCAAATATTGTGATACTTGCCCCTTTTGAAATAAACACACGAACAAATGTGTTTATTTAATTTCGCAAGGGTTGCAGCTGTCTAAATCTGACATCATTACCCAAGCAAATTGTACAAAGCAAGAAAAATGCCAATTTATAGCCACAGGACTGCCCTTGCTCATCTTTCCCATACAATCAAGAAATGTCCTTGTGCTGCAGGTGACAGGGAAGTTGCCGTGTGAATAATGAATTCCACGTGAACCATCAGGAAATGCTGGGGGTGAGCAGGGCAGTGGGAAGTGGATTATGGAACTTGTGTGTGCCTTATTCTCTGTTGTAGAAGAGGTAGAGGAAGGATCTTTCATAATACTGTGTTTATTTTCAGCTGAAGAAGGAAAATGAAGATGGCTGGGTTTAGAGCTAATAATTCTTTGAGTTCAGGCTCCCGTGGGTATGAATGAGACATGGGTGTTTGGAAGTTTTCTGGACTATTTCTGGGCTGGCTGCTGTGAGGATTTACACCAACTGATTTTTGAAAAAAAAATGAAAGAAAAAAGTTGCTCATCTTATCTTGCTGCTAAAAAAATTATGCATTTGCTGCTTAAAATACAGTATCTGATCTTTACCTCAAGTTTAAGTTAAATGCTTCAAACCGATGAATTAGACAGGTTATTAGAAAAAAGCAAAGTTTAGGATGGTACCGCTTTAGGGGGAACATTATTAGAGATGGGTGCACTGAGCAGCGGAGCCCGTAGCCATGTGAGGAAGGAAGTACCAAAACCACACTGCTCTCTGAGTTGTGGGAGTGGATGATAGGAGAGGATAAGGCAACAGCACTTGCAGAAAATGTTACTCAGACTTCTCTTTCTCTTTCGCCCTCCTCCACCAGACGCTGAGCTTCAAACTGGCAGGAAGTCGAAAATAAAAAAAAAAAAACCCACACCACCCAGCAGCCCCCAAAGCAGTACTCCAAAACTGGCTCTTGTTCACTTCACTGCAGATGCTGTTTTTGTGAGTAGAATCCATTCTACCAGTATTGGGATAAAGGGCTTAAGATGTGTGAGAGAGAGGGAAGGCAAAGCCCCGTAGGGCCAGGAAGTTGCATGTTGTATCCTGGAGGCTGCCAAGAGCACGGCTTGTGAGAAAGTCTTCATTTGGCCTTTGAGAAAAGTCTGTTGGGCAGATGCAGTGCTGTTATGTTGGCTTCAAAACTGACTGAGTATCAGTTATGTTCTAAGCCTTTCAACAACCTTTAGCATCCCACCTGAGAGAGCATGTGTGCCCACACATTCACTTCTGCCCAAGACATACCTCTTTTAAAAGAGAAGGGCACCATAAAGTTCTTAATTTTTTGGTTTGCACTTTGTCTCTCCTGGAAGTTGGATATTCAGAACTCAGCACGCTCACCATGTTAGAAGGGCACCATAAAGTTCTTAATTTTTTGTTTGCGCTTTGGTTGTTGGAAGTTGGATGTTCAGAACTCAGCACACTCACCATGTGTGAACTGGCAGATGTGATTATGTACTTTAGTGCAACGATGCTTTTTTCTTTGTTTTATTACTGGAAATTTTCACAAGTGCTACGGGATACGCCATAAGCTTTCTGAGCAAGGCTGAAAATGTCAATCTCAGGTTTGAGACCTGCCACTGAGGACGGCCAAAGGCATCGACAGCCTGTGATAGTATCTGGGATTACCAAAAACTTGGAAATGTTTCCTCTGACCGCTTTAAGTGGAAATTTTCACAAGTGCTACGGGATACGCTGATATGGGGTATTGACCAATTACTACCATTATTTTGAGTGAGGTCTTTGCTTTTTCTTGTTTATTAATTCTGACCACTTTAAGGCACATTCTGTTGAATGTGGTTTGAAATATTTTTCAAGACTCAGGTTTGTTATCCTCAAGTATAAATCTTTATGACCTTCTGTGACTGCCAACAGTGATAATGAGCATTAAGAAAACTCTGTGTGTCCCTTAAGCTGAATATTGGCCTTTTGCTTCATTAGATTTATAGCAAAGTGTTAATTACATCCTTATGATTAGGTCTGTTTCATTTAGTGCTTAAGACAGATATTCCGTGTCTGCTTGGTGTAAAACACACCATATCCCTTCCCTGTTTCACCGATGTGCCACGTGCTCTCTCAGGATGCAGTGTGGTGTTTGTGAAGCTTCAGGTGTGTACGTTACCCTGGTGGTGGTAATATTAACTTCAGTGCTTCTTTCATAAGTGCTTCTTTCTTGTAACAAGTACAAGAGTTCAAGAAAAACCATAATACTATGGTTTTTAACAGTTTTTCATAATATTACAAAAATGCCTACTGTTAAGCATAGTGTATGTTTGAAGAAAAGAGGTTGCAACTGAGCTAAGCTATTAATAACTGAACCAATTCTTAGGTCAACTGTGATGCTCTCTCTCACTTAGGATGACAGCTACATTCATGACAACCCAGTGCCTAAATCTGATGGTCATGCCACAATTATTTATTTTAATTTCTCAGTGGGAAGAGGGAGAAAATGTATGCGTTGGGCGTTCCTACCAATAGATTGCTTGGCCCAAATGTTGCTGCTCCTTAAAGGTCTGTGGCAATGTGATAATGTTGGGATAATGGCTGAATGTCTCCTGGGCCATAGGTTTCCACTAAATCTGTGAACAAGTGAAGTAGGGAAACCTCTTTGTGGTCTGGAACCTGGAGACTGGGTTCCACCGTATGTAGTCATGCAGTGCCAAAGGTCCTTTATCAGTGCCATAGCAGGTCTGTGTAGGTCACTGGTACAGACAGGGGGATAACTTTTCATAGAATGGCAACTCTGCCTGAATTCTTAACATATGAGTAGTACTGGTAAAAGTGAAATGTTACCAAGTGATTTAAACTGATACTCTGTATCTTCAAATAGAAATGTATATATTCAAGTATAAATTCTATGTGGTAGCATTTTCTGCTTAGCTTGAGGTAGTGCCTGAAGCTCAGCATGTGTCCAAATACTACCTTTTGGACCGAAGCCCTAAACCACTCCAAGAATCCTTCTTCACTCCCTCTTCCCCACGTCCACCCAGAGCAGCCCAACTACAGCACAGAACTGGCAACGGCCAAGTGGCTTTTCCCACCTCCCTTTTCTCTAAAGGCAAGGGTGAAGCTGAAGTGGTGAGGGGAGTTATCTGTACTCTGCCTTTTGCTTTGGGACCTTGTGCCTGAGCTACAAATTTGATTCTACTGTGCACGTAAGAGGGAATGAAAGAAAGGTTTCCATGTTAGCATTCAACAAAGCTAATTTTCTAAACTTCTCTCTAAGATTGCTCTCATAGCAACATAAGTTCAAGAGGTCTCAGGGTTCCAAAGAGTGACAGTGTCAATGTAAATATTCTAAATGAAAGTTAAAACTTCATATTTGTCAGAGAAGCCTCAAATGGAATAATAGTTTCAAATTTGGGGGTTTATTTAAAGGCCTAGATACTGCAAGGAAAGGAGGGCACATGGGTTTCCAGCTGACTAATGCTCTGTTGGCACAGCTTTATGCATAACGCAAAGATGAGGACAACTTTTGGTTTTGATCCTTTCAAGTGCTTCATAAAACACTCAGTCTATCTCAGTCTAATGCCCTAATAGACATGTGGGATGGATTTCCTTAATTCCTTAATCATCCTGTGTACAGACCTTCAGGATTTCTGGCAGGCACACAGGACAGTCGGGTGGCGACCACAAACAAGACTGGGAATCCCTGCTGAGGGCAAAGGACTGTGGAGCTTGTTATGGCCCCTTGAGAAATCCATGTGTGGCTGATGCATATGCAGGTGCAGTGAATCCTGGGCAGACTTAGTGTCCATGAACCCTTTTGCCTGCAAAAGGGTTGCCAGAATAAACTTTCAGGACTGTCTGGATGCCTCAGCCACTCTTATATGGTGCCCTTATATATGCAACGTTTTTAGCAAAGTCCAATAGAGTTCAGTGTTTTAATGGAGAGTTTGAACAGTGTATTTCAAAACAGTGTATTTAAAATATGCATTTAAAAATAAGGCTCATGAAAATGTGCCCCTGTAACGTGGCCAGTGGAGATTAACTTTCAAAATAATAATTCTGTTAATAACAGAAGATCGAGGGGGTGTGTTACTTTGAGGAAATGGCCTATCATACTTTGTAATGACAACTGTTACATACTTAGGCATTTAAAGATTCTTGTAAAAGTCACAGAATCACCCCCAAGTAATGGCCCAGTTATATTCAAAACTTGATCAGTAGGTTTGCTCAAACGTGTATATTTAGTAAAACCACATACCCAGCTCGGCAGGTCTGTATGGATGTAGGCTGTGGTTTGCAAACCTTGTCTAGTTGCAAGTGCTGGGTTCTGCTCTTGGTACATGTAGGTCACCATAACCCTGCTAAACGTCCTGGAGAACAAGCTCTCTTGGACTTTTTCTTCATTCCACTGGCAAACTGGAAGTGTGATGCTTGCTATTTATATTAAGCATTTTCACAGAATATGCTCAGATTTTAGCACTGTTGTTAAGTATCAGGTGTACTACTACAATATGCTAACATGTATTTCAGCTTGTAGAAGAACTAACTCTTCCTACTGGGCGAGTTTTGAGTTATGATATCAAAGTAAGGTGTGAACGTGTTCTAGCAGAAGTCAACAGCAAGTGCTTTCTGTTTTGCTGAGAGTGTGAAGATTCTAAAGTAATGAAATTAATGTTTTAAATGGCAACAAGTTCTCTTTCCTATTAAAACTCTAAATTCTTGTTTTGAACAGTGGCGTTATATGGAGGACCCCACATCACACCAACCTTTTCCCATGTATATTCATAATATTCTAGTGAATTGTTTCCATGTTTGTAAGTGTGGAGAAAGCTGAGAACAAGGGCAATAGTTCCAGAACTTTCATTCAGATTCATTAGTTTACATATTTATTCAGTTCTTAAGGTTGTGCATGAAGCTTCACTCTTCTTTTAAAGCTCTAGATTTCAAGTTCTCGTCTTGTTGAGAAACCCAAAAGATCTGACTAGAAAAGTCTGTTCACTTTCTGCTAGAGTGTTACAAGGTAAGTAGACTGTGAAAATCGAATTTTCAAAACATTTTTGAGGTATCAGTAGATTAGATGAGGAGACAGGAGCAACTTCACATTGTTAGATTTCATTTTAACCATTCACCTATGACATTAATATCTCTGTATCTGCTTATTAGACCTTCCACCAACCACTTTTGACTCAGGAATTTGAAAGGAAATAACCAAAAGTTCTCAAAATTAAAAGTTCAAAAAAGGAGAACACAAGGCAGTTTTACCAAATGACTGTTAAGGAGGGACAAATTATCAGAGAATTCTAAGCAATGTGTTTTACAATATGGTAAGATGAGTTTTTCACAGACAGTCTGGTGTAACTCTGGTCCTTCAGTCTCAGTAACCATAGTTAAAAGTTGCTTGCAATTGACAGTAAGTTAAAAAATGCTGAGATATTGGGGAGTCTTTTTTTTTTTGTAGCACCTGGGCCCCCTCATACACAGCCAGTCCCTATTATCGGGAAATTTATTGTATGAAATTATCAATATGATCTTAAGAAATGTCATGTCTGAGGTTTTCAAGTTCAAGTCCTTGCTTATCTGATCCTACCAGCAGTGTCCTCCAGCCCTCAGATCTAGCCACCAGCTTACCCACAAGCACACAAATGTGACAGACCACGCAGGTATTTCAAATTTTTTCAGTACTCTCTGCTTCACCAAAACATGTTACACAAGCTCTGATGCCTCAGAAGAGGTGAAGCAGACTGTACCTCCCATAGCAGAGTAAACACGTGCCGAGAGGGACTGAGGCTGGAACTGGGAAATGAGCAACAAAGACATTTAACACAGAGTCAAATGTTCCAGAGTGATTTATCTCTAACGCCTACCTAAAGGATGATGAAAAGCACTTGAACTCCTCGACTGCTGTGTACCTGACTTTTACAGAGTCAAATGTTCCAGAGTGATTTATCTTTAACACCTACCTAAAGGAAAAGCACATGATGAAAAGCACTTGAACTCCTCAACTGCTGTGTGTGTACATGACTTTTTTCTTTTTCTTTTCTTTTTCTCTTTTCTTTGAGTTAAAGTTAACAGTTAAGCAGTGAAGAGTTAAACCACACTTCAAAGGCAATACTCACAAAAAAGTTTAACCTTTGTGTAGCTGCTGTTAGTCAAAGGATTTATGGATGAGTCTTTTTGAATATCCCCCAGACATTATTTTTTGGGGGTATTGCATCATTGTGCTTAAGCGGTCATGACAACACTCCTTTTATTTTGGAACATTCTTATTTTTCTCTCAGTGCAGTGCAATAAACAGGTCTCTAACTAATCACTTGCAAATCATCCACCCAATGTTTCTTAGGAGTTTTCACTGCAGAGCAGCTAAGAGTCTTTTTAGTGTTAAATTGGTTTGGCTTTACTTACGGCACTCGGAGTTTGGGAAATTTCTGAATATCATTTTCAGACATGTTCTGAAAAGGAAACACATGGTATATATCACACAGTTGTCCACGGAACACCCTGTGCCTTACAGAAGTGTGTGTATTCAAAAATGGGGCATGAAGTTTCAACTGACAGGAACATAAAATGCATGGACAAGCAATGCAGGACAACAGCCCATCCCATGGATCAGAAAAGAACTGAACCGATTTTAATAAAAAATCCTCTCTCTATTTTTTTCTTTTAGTTTTGCTGGATGTTGGCTTTTACTTTATGTTGCTGCCAGTTGTATTAAACTAGCTAAAAGGTTAATAAACATTATCTGTATTTGTTTACATACAGTGGACTTCAACAAAATTATTACATCTAACTTCAAAGAGAAGTGTAGCTAGAATGTTTTAATGACAGCTTGTTAAAAAGATCAGTAAGGAGAAATAAATCTTAAATCAGGTCTTACCAGAGTTGGGTAGATTTGTTTGTTTACCAGCAGCAGATGAACTATTCTTCCAGTATTAATATCAAATTAACAGGACTATGTGCAAAGTTAAAGTCAAGTAATTTGCTTTTCTGGTTTGTGTTCTCACCCAGTTCTTTATTGATGTTGTGTATTGTCACATTGACTTACAGGCAAGGTTAAAATCCACCCTTGCTCTGCTTCTCAAAAGAACTGGAAATAAGGAAATGCTTTTCATTGTATATTGCCATCACCTAGCATACAGCAAAGCATATCCTTTGAATATTTATTATTAAAGAAGTCTTGATATACAGTAATTCATCTTAGTGGACAGTGTCAAACAACTAATAGAGAGCCACATCCTGGTAACGTCCTATGCTACTGATTCCAGGTATGAGCTCAACAAAACGTGCAGGATCTGCTTGAAATCACCATCAGTGGCTTTATTCCTGGCTGTTTTGGAATTATGCTTCTCAGTAAATATAAAAGGACAGGATATTTCACTTGTAATTTTAAGGCAACGTGCAATGAAACGCCCTTTGTAAAGGGCTGTTCCTGGTAAGGAAGGCAAACTTCTACCAGAGATTCTGATTTATGCTATTTTTGCTTCACATCTTTTTTAGTACAGCTAAAAAAATATGGTATTTAAGTGACTTCAGAAGCTAGATATGTCTGCATAGAGAATTCAAGTGAAGTTGTGCAGGACTGAAAAGTTTCAGGGTAAAACTGTAAATTTTAAAATAGAGCATCATTTGCTGGAGTTTTGTCTAAGAACCTTATCTATGACATCACAGTATATGTAAAATCAGATGTTCTAGTGGAGACGTAGCTGGAAAACTCCTTGGGCTTAAGAGCAGGCTCAGCAGCCTGACAAAAATCTCCTCATGAACTGGGATGTGGCATGGAGGGGGCAGTGTCTCTTCCCCCTTCCCCCATAATACAGCAGTTAGACATCAGGTCACTGCTGACCTCAGCTGGGACGGGCTAAATCATGGGAGCTTCACCGATGCTCCTGCAGAGTCAGCCCCTCTCTTCTCCCATCGTGTGCAACTCCAGGCTTAGGACAGATGTGTGCAGTATGAAAACTTTTGAGAAAGTGTTCTGTTTAGTTGATCACAAGCTTTGCAAATTCTCTTTGGAAGGTGGCTGATAGTCTGGCTCTTTCTTACTGCCAAGAAGTTGTTGTTTCTAATTGCACGTTGGTTCACAATGCTATCAAGGATTGTCAGGCCAGAACAAATCCTATCTGTGTTTTCCAGCGCTATTTTGCTGCTGGGACTACCCACAGGAGTAAAACACAGAAAACGTGTACTCCCTTTATGAAAATGTCCTACAGGATTTACTGAAAAATCATAATTTTTTCTGAAGACGTTTTGAGCTTGTCTCTGGAATTCTATTCTGGCGATAAACCTGACAAATATTATGGCTTTAAACAATTCTATTCTGGCGATAAACCTGACAAATATAAGTGTAAACTCTCATAAAAGGGCCATGTTGCCATTTTAAATATTAGAGAATTTTATTAGAATATTAAAAGGGCCATGTTGCCATTTTAAATATTATGAGAATTTTATTGGAGTACGTTATATGGAATCCCTCTGGTTTTATTCCTACATCATCTCAACTGGACTTTCCTTATGGTAGCCAGTAGATAGAGCAATGTGACTTTGAAACCAGGATGTTATTCTGAAGAAGACAGCAATATTTTTACAGTCAGGTTTACCGTATAGATCTGACATAGATACAAAACCTGCAAACTCTCAGTTTTAACAATTTCTTCTGTGCCAATGTAACTTGGCAGTTTCCAATAACTCACAAAATGTAAAAAGGTATTTCTTAGAAAAAAACATTCACCCAGAGAAGCATTTTTTTTTTTCAAGTTTGCGTTGTACTCTAGAATATTCCACTTAAAGTCTCCTTTTGTTGTTCTACTTAACAGGTGAACCTTTTTTGCATTATACAATTGACAAGTAGGTCAAAAGCTTAAAAAAAAAGTCTCAGCAGAGATGAGCAGCTGCTTGCTCACTTAATAGAAAAGCATCGTTTTAATCTATTAGGATGCTTCTGAAAAAATGCTGCACTCTGAGCTGTGTGTTTACAGAAACACTCTGGAAATAATAAAAATTTAGAAAAATCACTTAGGAGTCCCACAGTTATTGCTCTTGCTATTTGTACCTCACAAACTTTCAGAATTTCATAGTGCTCCCATTCCAGGCAGAGATCCTTAGTGCCTGAGCTAAGGAGACTCTTCTTAGGGGTCAGGAGGATAAATCCTGTGCCACACGTCTGAATAATTCTGGCTCCTCCCAGTAAGAGGGAGGTGCAATATCCTCTTCCTACAAAAGGTGTTTGACAACTTTTCAGTTGCATTTTAATGAAATGTCAAATAGCTTGATACATTAGGACAAGTAAGTAAAAAATAAGACTTTAGAAGAGGTATGCGTAGATTTCCCCACTATGTCTAACTATAGACATGATCAAAATGACTACTTTTGGGGAAAACAGAATAGGTAATATTTGGAGGAAAAAAAAAAGAAGTAAAATGAAGTAATAATCAAATCCCTTACACATCTTTATGGATGTGTATTTAAGAGCTGAGAACAGCAGCTGTGCCCATGGAAGCTGGCAGCTTTTCTGAAGTTAAACCAAGGTGTTGGTGAAGCCTGGAGCAATGTTGATTTAAACTCCCTGGGACTCTGCTTACTAGGTTTGGGGCTCTTAACCTTCATTGATTTTGTGTGCTGCTGCAGAAGAAATCTAATTTTAAATATAAAGGCATGAAGCAGTGATTACAACACAACATCAGTCATTCTGATCAGGTCTATGTCTCCTTTAGTGGGAGAAGGCAATTAATAAATGTGAGTTTTCTATAGTTAGTATTTGAAAACAAGCACTTCCTATAAAGGAAGAGATGAATTCAAGATAAGACTGTGGGTTTGTAACTTCCCTGTCAGCTTAAAAAATACTAAAATATGTGCATATTCAACAACATGCTTGGGTTCCCAGTGTTCCATACTTAAAGCGAGATGTCTGGCTGATTTTAGCAAAGATATTTAGTTCTTGTATTTATACCTCAGTGACCACCTGTGAACTAAGTCATTTGCATCTGCCAATGCAAGGTTAGGAGGAGTCAAAACAATCGCTTCATTGGCGTTTGAGAGGGAGGAATTTTACAGCTCTACTTACCAAAAACCTTTGTCCATTTATGCTGTGCTTTCTCACGACTTTTTCACAATCCTTATACTTTAACTGTCAATGAAAAGAAGATGATTATTGCACCCTTCCTTATAAGAGCAGACGTAGTTAGCTTTGACTAGATGGGTCAAGTTACCCTTTTGTATGCTAGAGCCTGTCAAAATGGCTCAATTTGTTCTGTAAACATGGATTTTTTGAGACAAAGATTCCTCAGTGGACTTGAGGTTTCTCATCCATTTAGGAACATATAATTCCTCACATTTAAAACAACGCTGCAGTTTCCTGGCCCAAAGAAATATGTGGAAAATAGATAGTTGTGGTACTGACTGGGATGAACAGTTGTGGAAGACAGGAAGTACAGCAAAAACCTTAATATATTGGAATTCTGAAGCCCTGATGTCAGTTGCTGAACTCATTGTTGTGATCAAAAAGCTTCCTCATCTTGATGGAAATGTCACTTGTTAATCCTGGAAATTATCTATAATGCCTATAATATTTGGAAAGCTTTTCCCCAATATTCTGTTTTACAATAGCATCTAGGGCAAAGGCATGTTGATCATGTACAGAAGCTCCTGGTCCTACCAGGCAAAAATCTAACAGTAATTTGGGGCACTTAGGGAAAAAAAACCCCAACACCTAGCCACATTCAGCAAGGTGTGACTCTTAAATATTTCCAGTGGGTGTCTTAAGGGTTTTTTTTTTTGTTTCAACGGTAGTAGCATAATGTGAGAACACAGCTGATGTTTTTGGTCTGGCTGGAATACATTTTCTCTGTTTAAGGTTGATCAAGTCTGTACCAGCAGGAAGCCAATGAGCAGGCAGACAAAGTGTCTTTTTGGATCCTCCAGGACAGAAGAATTGCTCTGGTTCTGCCTGAAACTTTAGTTAGTGAAAGTTATGCAGACAGATGATCCTGTGCTGCTGGGATAATTCTCCTAAAGCAGGCAGGTAACTTTCTAGTGGGAGCATCGTGTCCTTCCTTAGTTCTATCCTGTTTACTCATTTTGAGGGTCAATCTTGTAACTTGGTGTTACAGGAGAGCAGATCCTGAGAACATCTGAGCAGCTGTGTCATGACCAATCTCTTCAGATGATAGAAGTTTTCAATATGATTGTCCTTTGAAAATCATCCCACAATTCTCTCAGTTTAGGAGGAAATACAATTGCTTATCCCTCTTGGACTTGAATCCTGGTCTTTCAACATATGGCTGCAGGCAATATAAATTACTCAGATGCAAATAAAGCATAGCTAAGGTGTAACATTCCACCCTGTAGTGATAAGTGTGAGGGAAATTGTACAAGTTTATCTGGGGAGAAGATCTGGTCGCTTATGGCAGTTGCCCAGAGCTGGCTGACTTAGGCTGATATTATTGTCTTAAAAAGATTTCTTAGATGACTTTAAGCAGCTTTTGCTCTGATTCACCTCCCCAAAAGTGGGATGCCAAGAGTATCTCTGTCCTGGGGGGTATCTGGATCAGTAGAGGGGGAGCACTTGAAAATTAATGTAACTGGGCCTGTTCAGTTACGATAGAAGTTCGAGTTAATCCTTTAATCACTGCTAAGGATATCATTGCCAGCTCTTTCAGGAAGCTGTTTCCCTTAGTCTCTTGGAAATGGCGATCCAAACCACCCTGCCCCAGTGCTGTAATGTTTTTCGTATTTGTCTGAAATTGCCTGTTGATAACAATCTCATCTGTTCCATCTCCAATTCTTCCTTTCACTTTCCTGTGCCACTAACCCCTGCATTCTAAAATCAGAGGTTTACAAGTAGCTGGCAGTTTCAGTTCTCTGGAGATTTGGGAGATACAGATTTTGTGTTTGATCTGCTCGGCTTTATTAGCTAGTTTTGCATTCTAGTATCCAACTTGCCTCAACTCCCCAAAGAAAACTCTCATAGAGTTGTAAGAGCCGTTGAAACAATAAATTTTGCATGATTGCAAAATGAAGCCCAAACTGTTCCAGGTTTTACAAGTCTAGTGTGACAGCTCACTTGAAAATCTTCCCAAATCTTGTGATTGATCTGAATGTTTAATCCAGGCTTACAGTTTTGGACTTTGGGAACCGCAAGGGAGATGGAGCAGGCACTATCTCCAATGTGAACTGAAAAATGTGCAATCTACAGAGAACACACAGAAATGAAGTTTCAGTAAAACTGGCTCAGTTACATATTCCTGGGCAATTACAAAGGTGTCAGCACTACTGTGCAGAGGATAAATAGATAAATATTGGTAGTGAATTCCTGTATTGCCTTCCCCAATACTTCTTCAGTGTGGAGACTCCTCTGAATTGTAAAATGAAATTTATAGATTGTCATAAGTAAAAAAGGTGTCAGAAGAAACAGCAGATCCAAGCTCGTCACACAAGGTAACATCAGAAAAAGCAACAGTGAGAGGGAAGAAGGCATAGGGAGGAATCTTGATCCATGAGTTCTGCCCAAGAAGTTTTAGAATAGGGAAGTCAAACCAAAAGCTGAAAGGTTTTTCCAACTGAGCCTAAAAAAATTAGGAGTCATTGTATCCACAACTGTTAAGTTCCTGGCTGGATTCTCGTGGATATGATTACAAAAGACATTCAGAGGCTCATTTCTGAACACCAAGCAATTAGAAAAAAAAATGTAATTGAAAATCATTGAAGACAACCTCGAAAGCTTGTGATCTTCACACATTAAAGCCTTCTACAGCTCTTAATATATTTTATGTCAACAACTGTTGTAGCAAAGTGTATATTTTCTCTGCAAAGCCGTGAGTTTCTCTTATACCTGATTTAAAACACACTTTCAAGATTCATTGATATATTTCACTGACCAGTTTAGCTCAGGTTCTGAATTGTCAGTGGTTTTGCTTTTAGTTTTGCAGCAAGCTCTGCCCACTATAAAAATATGTAAATTTAGCACAAACAATATTACACTAGTTTGCTCCTCCATCGTACAAAGACAAAATACGGTTGAACTTACCGTCCTAAAATATTCTGCTAAGTCATCTGGGTTCCACGTAACCACGTCTGAACGGTGGGGAATGTTTCTCAAATCCATGGTGAGCTCTCTCCTCCGGGCAGTTAGCGCACGTTCATAGCCCTACCAGCCATGAAACAGCCATATGGCCCCCGTGTGTCACCAACTCCAGCGTCACCAGGAATTCCTTGTCTAAAACCCAGCTTCTTCTGTTTAAGACCTGGTTGGTTTTTTTAATTTAGAGCTACGTTGTTAGGACATCCAAGAGAGATACTGCTTCCTCTTACACAAAATGGTCTCTTCTCAGAAAAGTTGTCAGCTAGTCAGCCTTACCACTTCCTTTGTCTGAATATAAATAAGTAAACAAGGAAGCAGAGCAAAGAGTTGAAAATGTTCTTCCTGCTACATATAAGTAAGCTCCTATGCACCCTATTTGCTTGAAATTGCATACATTTATGTATTTACACACTCTGTGCAGTATAAATATATTGACATATTATCTGCATAAACATTGGTTACTGCTTCTGTGCAAGTCTAACCCAGACAAGTCCCCCTCCAAAGAAGAAAACGTTCACTTAGGAGAAACTTCTTCAACTTACCTCACTACCTGAAGTGTCACGTTATCTTTCTTTGATTTATACAACAAGAAAAGTTGTTGGAGTTCTACGTAAGGAGATGTGCATGAATAAGGGATGGAGTAACAGTCAGCATTCCTTCAAATAAGGAACCTCTTAGTGAAACTAAAAAATGGGCAAGCTTAGATGAACTTACACTGTCATTGTTTCGGTGCCCCATTTTTCAGCTACCTCTAACGAGGAGTTTTGTGTCTGAAAAGAATCCACAGGACCATAGTATTACCACAGGGCTATTTCTACTCACTGAGGACCTTCTAACCTTGGGTCTGTAATTTGCAAGTACATTTGCATACAAGTGCATGTATTTGAGTTCATATCTGCAAGTCTCTGTACTAGTGTATGAGTTCTCCTTTTGAAACTCTGATTTAAAGTAGCTTACTTTTTCTGGAGAAATTTTGGTAAATGATGGCAGCGTGTTATTTAAAACTCTAAAACTAAACTGCTGTAACAGCTGTTCTAAACTGTGTAGCATTTATCAAATACATGATATAGCTCTGTTTTATGGGTTCTTATTTGAAATTATCTGTATGAATCATCCGAGGCACGTACTGACAGTCTCACAGAAATATTATCACCTCTCCATTGTAAATCTTGGTCTGGGGACGAAATAGGATTAAATTAACTTGTGACAAAGAATCCCCAAAGGAGAAGGTGTTTGGGGGTGCATCAGCAGCAGTGGTAAAGGGGACATCACCCAGCACACGTCTCACACACCCAATCACACACCACGTCTTTCACCAGAGAAACAAGTTCCTTACAGTACAGACACAGGAAGAAGCCTGTGCTATAATTTCAAATTGCTCATTCTATTACAGTATTTCATTACCTTCTAATCTAATTTCTATCCCAAATCCAGCATAGCAGCTCTAATTTCAATTGTGTTCTTCCTTATTCCTACTAATATAAAACTAATCGCTCTGGTCAAAGGAGCTCTGGTCAAATTCTGATGATGTTATAGAAGAATCATAGCATCATTTATTCTGATGCTGAGATAGAATCATAGAGTTGTTTAGGTTGGAAAAGACCTGTAAGATGATTGATTCCAACCTTTAACCTAGCACTGCCAAGTCCACCACTAAACCATGTCCCTAAAGAGCACACCTACACGTGTAAGAGATGTGAGAGGAGATAGGAGAAAAGCTGTGACCTTTAAAGTCAATCTCCTTGTCTAGAGAGTGACTATCACAGAAATTCTAACACATTTATTTAATCATTATTATTTGGTTGGATCCTGCCTGTGTCACTGTGAGTATGTTATAGCTATGTGTGTATTTCATGCATTTTGCAAACCCAGCTGCACAAGTACTTGAGCTTTGTCTCTGTCTGGAACTTCTTTTGTAATGAGATAAACACATAGGATGTGGTGGCCAAGTGAGGCTTGCTGAGGAAACATCACTTTGTAGGTTCTACATTTGAAATTTCAGATATACTGTTAGATGAATGTAACAATTTTAAATTGCATTTCCAACCTATGCATGTATTTGAACATATCAGTGGAAAATGTTGTTGAACTCGCAAATAACCTTGCATGAGTCACGGTTCCCAATCCCAACCAGACTGCAGAGATGCTTTAAGTGTCTGTCTTTGTGGCCCAGAAGCGAAGTGTGGCAAATCCCATGTTCCACAAAAGGAAAATCTTGATGCCAGAAGAAGGCTGCACATTATCACTTCACTCTTTTAATTGTTCTTCTGTTCACTCTTCCCGTATTTTTCCACTTGTTTCTTATTTCTCTTTCGCTTTTCAGAGTCACTGTTGGTACCTCCAGAACTGGCACTTTCTCCCAGGTGCTTCTCTTGCCTCCAGTGTCCTCTGCTCAGAGAGGTCGTTTCAACACTGATGGTCACTGAGAGAGAAAAATTCGGATGTCCACACTTGTGCAAGCCCCCATGCCAGAATCTCCAGTCACATCTGGGTAGGAGTGTAAGGGAGGATGTCTGGGAAGCAACCACAGCTGATTTTTATGGAGGAAGAAGAATGACTGCAGGGAGAGCATTAGGGTAGTTAAACGAACTGTAGCCAAGAGATGGGCCCACAGAGAGTTCCTGGGGAAGAACATCAAGTTTGACAGGCTACATGCAGAAATTTGCTTGATAACTAAATATGTTTTAGGGGTGACAATCCTAACTGTCTGTTGGAGATGATCACATGCTTTGAATCTTCACAGTTCAATCTTACATTGCAAGAAATGGAGTCACAATAAGTGGGCAGCAAAAGATACATCTATTCTGTAGTATAATTTGTTGTATACTTCAGTTGGCAATATTCCATGAAACTGATTTTAAGCTCTTAGATTTTCAAATGCTGAGAAACACGGATATTACAACTATTATCACATGCATACCTTTTCCATTGTGACTTTTTCCCCCCTCTTTTTAAGGAAGCAGGTCTTTTATAGTTGAGGCCTGCAGTGCTACAACCATCACATAAAAAATGTGTCTCTTCACAGAGGAGCTGCCCGTGGTACAGGGCTTTCAGACATAGCGATGCTCTGGTGACTGATCTTTGAAAATGTGAGACTCTAACCATTTAGGCACCGCAGGAAGGAAATTCACACTGCCCACATTCTGCTGCCTTCAAAGGGCCTCAATATGTTCCAGTTCTCACCTCTTTCTGGTGCTCTGTCCTGCAGCACCCTGTTTTAAGTGAAGTCAAAGGCTTACTTTGAACAGTTCTCTGAATGGCTATTTTTTCTAGAGTAACTCAGTTTATGTGTCAATTTTCCTAGAACAAAGCAAAAAAATTTCAAACTTCATAAAAATTTAGTCTTAATTTTCATCACAGTCACGAAGCAAAGTGAATCTTTAAGACGTTTTTATTTTGCTGTGCCTGATTTTGTTTTTAGAAGACTTGGGTAATTTCTTCCTTTTATGCTGGGAATATTTACCCTTGCCAGCCTATATTTCCTCTTTTAACATTGCACACCTTGTTCCTGTGCTGTATACCTATCTATAGAAAAAATCCTTTCATTTTTATACCCCTTAAAAATCACCACAGGAGTGTTATATATTCCTTGCTGTCTTTAATTAGCACCGAGACACACTGTCTCCTCCTCAAATGCCCTTATCCATTATTTTCTTAATTCTTGTAGTCGTCTTAACCTTGACTTTGCAACGTTTGTACATTGACACAAGACCCAAAACTGAGTCTTTGCCAACTTAAAAAAGGTCTTTTGTAGGAAGGGAACTACGAGCCTTCCTCCCCACCTAGTGGCTGAGTGACAGAGCGACAGACACTAACCACTGCTGTTCTCAAGAAAGGGATGGACACAGAATTGCTGACACTGCTGTACAAATTTGATACTTGCATTGCATTTATACACTTCAATGGGACTAGCAGTCGAGGTAGATGCTAACCAACCAACCTGCATCTGAAATATATGGTTTGAATAAAACTCTGTCTGAGATACTGGCTTCAAATCCAATTTCACCATGAAAAACAATTTCTGCATATTCTTTCTGAACTTGGCCCTCAGCAATTATTTTCCTAGATGGAAAATAATTTTTCATTTTTCCATCCTTTGGAATTTTCCATTTTTTTCTTTGCTAGTGAATTTTTTCCATTGCTACTGAATTGTGTTACTTTGAGTAGGTGAAAAGACATTTAGGCAATTCCAAGATACCTGAAATCCTAGAATACAGCCACTAGAGTGCAGCTGAACTCTATTCAGAAAACAGAGAGAATTAAATATCTACTAAGGTGCTGTAAAAAAAAAAGGGAAGTCGTTAGACATATTCTAGCAAGAGGACTGTTTTTTCAGGTACATGTTTTGTTCCACTCTGTTAGGGTCATTAGTGGCATAACGTGTCTGGTTTGTCCAGACACACTGCAAACACACACAGAGAACACCCAGCAGATCTTAGAAAGAACGTCTACTGAGGAAAGATTAAAAAATGTTTTGCTTAGCCTAGGAAAGGGAAGTTGGAGATGAGGGAAGGAAAAGTTCCACTCTGTTAGGGTCATTAGTGGCATAAGGTGTCTAGTTTGTACAGACACACTGCAAACACACAGAGAACACCCAGCAGAGCTTAGAAAGAACATCTACTGAGGAAAGACTAAAAAATGTTTTGCTTAGTCTGGGAAAGGGAAGTTGGAGATGAAGGAAGGAAAAAGGAGACAAACTTAGTGGTTTTGGGTGATAGCAATCAGTTGTTCTCGTGACCTGTGAAAGGCTCTGCTAACAAGGAAAGCAGCTGTAAGCTCAAAAAGTAGGTACTGCAGACTGAAGAACTCTCCTGCCCTGTACTTGGGCTGTTCAGTGCAGTTCAACAGCTCAAGTGATACAAACTGCCAAGCAATGCCAGAAGTGAATCTACCTTGGCGTGTTTCCTTTCTGTGGCTTTCGTTCTCTATGTCCCAGTTTCCCTTGGAAGGCCTGAAGCAGGGCAGAAGGTGCTGTGACATGTGGAGCAGTGTGCAGGTGGTGGTACCAAGCAGCGGCCATTGGTGGTGAGAGAAATGAAAAGTGCCCACCTCTGGAGCTGCTCAGAAGGATGGAGAAAGGGGCTGGATTCAGAACTGTTGCTAAAATATGCTGTAAAGGATGACAGTTTTGCCTACTATTGGACTTACCAGATTGCCTTTTTTGGGGGTGTGCTTTCTCCTTTCCCTGAAGGAAATACGTTGTTTTAAATCCATTTGAGTCAGTGTTTGTGAGTGG